CCTATTTTGAACCTTAGCGTGGGATCATTTTTCCGCTAGCTTGTACCAAGTGTAGTGGTAATAAGCATTTTTTCTGTCTTTTTGACACACAAAGTGAGTTTGCTCAGTATATTTTGCAAAACATATGTGTACTACGACTGTATACTACTTCATATGTTGCTCAGCTATGTCGGCTGAGTACAGCAATACCCCCATATGTACCTTTGCCAGGTATATGTGGACCTTGAAGGGGCACATTTGAGACACAGCCATTCCAGTTTTTTTCAAACTTTGAATTTTTACGCTGTGTCCATGTCCCATTTTAGAGTATTTTACAAGGCTATATAATCCAATTACACCATAAAGGCATACCATTTCTTAAAGAAGACATCCCAGGGTAATTCAAAAGGCATATTTTGAACCTTAGCGTGGGATCATTTTTCCGCTAGCTTGTACCAAGTGTAGTGGTAATGAGCATTTTTTAATGTATTTTTTTACTTTGTAAAACTTTTTTTACTTTGTAAAACCCATTTGTAGCGGAGCGGCAATAATAAATCCCACGATCTCCGCTGGTTCAGAAGGTAATCCACATTCAAGCGCTGAAAAGCAAGGCAATCTCCCAAATCTCCCAGTAACCGGACAAGACACAGTTCTGAGAGTCAACTGAACGCTTTATTCACAGGCTCCACAATTTATACAATTCCCCATGCAAGGGGTTTCCTGAGTCTTATCCCAGGGGTATTCCCAGAGTGGACTACGTGGGGAACTTACATTACAGAGCCTTTCCCCCATCAAGCACTGCTGCACGAGAGGGATCCTCCCACTGGAATGTGCCGTTAAGTGGATTATCCCTCCGTGCAGCAGAACCGGCAATTTACTTTTAAAATACACCGTTTTTCGAATGTTAGGTCTATTTGCACGAATGGACGTTTGGTAGATAGCTGGGGTCTGAGCGCATCATTCGTGAGATTACCGCTCAGATCCCAGCTAAAACAACCGAACGCCGCACGAAAAACATATTCATTAAAACACACACTTAAAAGACCGATTGATGTATAGGGAATAATATACCGAACGGCCCGGAAGTCCAGCGGTGTTAACAGCCTGTCAGAGCGAGCACTGGTGCTGGGGCAGCGCGAAACGGTGCTCCCGGTCTGCCTCTAATACAGAGGCAGACTGGAGCACCGTTAACCCCGCGATCGCCACAATTGTGGCGATCTGGGGTTAACTTTAGTAAATGACGGAAATTTTCCATCAATGGTCCTTAACTGAAGGACAAGGTTGACAGAAAATTTCCGTCTGAGGTCGGGAAGGGGTTAATTTTAAATTCACAAACACCAATGTAGGAAGCACTCAACTACAAAGGGTTAAAGGACCACTATAGGCACCCAGACCACTTCAGCTCAATGAAGTGGTCTGGGTGCCAGGTCCCCCTAGTTTTAACCGTGCAGCTATGTACTGCTATGTTTACACTGCGGGGTTATTCCAGCACGGAGTAAATCGAGTAAATCGCACTTATTTGACGTTGGATATCCTCATGAAGTTCAGTGTCAAAAAAGATTGCCATAGGAAAGCATTGAATAATGCCGCACATGCGCATTCGGCTCCACTCTGAAGCTGATGTCAATGGGGGAGGAGAGGTCACCAGTGCCGAGGGAGCCCCGCGCTGGATTAAGGTAAGCAAATAAATGGTTAATTAACCATTTATTCGCCACGGAACACTATAGTGTGATACCAGAGATTGAGTCCTGGACCCCACACTTCATTTAGCCAGTTCCCTACTAGGGTTGAGCAAAGTCCCTCCACGGTAAATTCTAAGCTAATTAGAAGCATTTGTGTCCGTATATGGTATGCTTGGGGCTGTTTGGATAGTCCAGGAGATTTTGTTTAACCGATGCCCTTGCGTGAGGCCGGTTCCTGTGGGGGATATTTGTGGGTGATTGCCTGTACGTAGGGAGCGTTTGTGGTGCTGTCCCTGTAGTTAATAGGTGGGTCGGGTGGAGTCGTGGGTGGCCTTGGTGCTTTACACCCGGAGGTCACCTCGTTTTTTCTCTTCCCTGGGCATGTATGTGCCGCTTGCGCTGTATTTGTCTGTGGGAAGTTTTTCGCGCCCTCAGGGAGTGTTGGGGTCTCTGTGGCTGGCCCGCTTTGTCCATCTTCAAGGGGTCTCGTGGTCTCTTCGGCAGGGCGCGCATGGTAATAATGGCGGGCCCCGCCTCGTGTTTACTGCTTGGTGTTCTTTTTAACCCGGGGGCTCCCCTTGTTGATGTCTGCCCCTGAGAGGTGTGCATCCCTGCTGTACCTGCATGTGGTGGTCAGCTTTGCGTTTAAGCTTTCGCCAGAATCTCTGGAACAGGTCGTCCAGGCGCTGTTCTAGCATTTTGTGCCGCTTGTATGTCTCCATCTCTTGGTCAGTTGCCGCCATCTTGGTCTCCATGGCTTGTCTGTGTTTGCAGCGTTAGCTGTCCACTGGGGATAATCAGGTGAGTCGAGCTGCTTTGTGGTGACCGGGAGGGGGGGAGAGGGAAGTATCTCTCCGCGGCTCCTGTCACTGCTGTTGCCCCGGAGAGCGGCCGTCTCTCTGTGGCTCGGTCCCAGGTAGGCCGCAAGCCACGTTGTATCAGAGTGGCCGCGCAGTGGGTCTTGAAATGCACCGTTCGAATGGGTAGCCTCTCCTGGGTAGAGGTACTTTGTTCTGTAGTCTGTGGGTGACCGTGTTCAGGCCCTGTACCTCGTTTTCCCTCACCAGATGTGGGAGCTCTGGCTAGACACATCTGGGCTGCATGCCTGCTTGGCTCAGCCAAAGTGCTTCCGGTTTTAACCCATAAGTGTATTACCAGGTATACCGACCAAAAGCTAGAGACCACAAAGCCCCAACGTTTTGGCAATCAGCCTTTCTCAAGGGGATCTCAAAGCTTCTGGTCACAGTTTCTTTTTTATATCCATTCTAAGGTACATAATGTGATGTATAATTAAAAACAGTTGTAGGGAATCAAAATTAATTAATTAGCCTCATCTGTAGCTAATCCAGTCCCCTCCAATGTTGTAGATCAAACCGCATCAATGCCCCAGACAGCCAGTAGAGGCATGTATGGGAGTTTAGCAGACTCTAGGTTCCGTAAATGACACTGGACGCCAGTAAAATTCAAATAGGAAAGCATTGAGGTATTGCTTTTCTATGGGGAGGGCATAATGCGCTTGTTGTGCTCAATGTGCATGCGCATTAGGTTCTCCATACATGACGTTGGATAGGTTGTGGGTATTACAGCTAAGGTGAAAAGGGCGACAAATCGGCCGATGACTAGCTGACTTTATGATCCCGCAATAAAACGACGTTAGCGGAAAGGGACGAGAATGAACAGAGGAGAAGATAGTGCACAGAAAATAGCCACTACTCAAGCACACTGTGCTCCATGGAGGAAACTGATGACCCTGCAAACCGTTACAGTGCAACATCCAAGGAGGGAGCACAGAGCCAGTGAGAGCCGATAAAAACTGAGTACCAAGAAAGAAATGCGCCCTCGACAAAGAATAAAACCAGCTCAATGAGGGAGAAGAATGTAACGAAAAACACCAAATCAGACATAAACACCAAAATACTACAACACAATGCAAATAAGTTAAAACAAGAACAAGTAACGTAAAAATAGTACGCCATAAAATGTAGTTTTTTTTAATATATTTACCTTTTTTTTAAGGAGAAGCTAAGAAACAGAATGAAGTTAGGAGGTCATTCCTTATATGCACTATAATAAAAGCTGGTCACTGAATGTTCTAACGGTTAACATGCTTGGTTGTTCGTTGTTAACTCTTTCAAACTTGATTTTTACTTGTTGCAGGAGTAGTAAAGAGAGACTTTAAAACATAATGTGAGTCTCCTGCCTGTGATAAAATCTGCCTCTAATGCTGCTGCTGCTGCCAACCGACATCTGATAAACACAAGTCACACAAGTAGACATCCTCTCTTTGGCCCTGACCCCTTCCCATTGGGCACTGTAAAGCAAAAATGCACACGCCAAATTTTGTTCCCAGTCCAGCCCTGGCTACCACTAAAAGAAATGGGAGGACCAGGATTGCCCAAAATGTTTACTCCCTGGTCTCTGCTTATGTCATTGTATAAGTTGCAGGTCCTGAGTATGCTTAGCAAGTGTTGCGCATTTGGGGGTGGATTACACTTTATTTGCCTGTTTTAATGCATTTTCACTAATTTGTATTAAATAGTAAGATCATAGGGCATTATTTTAACTGAACACAATTATTATCCATTTTGTACAAAAACATCATAGTGAAACTGGGAATTTGCTTCATATAAAACATTAAACCTATACTTCTGTAATTATTATGGGTTTGTATGTTCATAAAGTGAAATTTCTGTGGATTTGGCAAGGTCTTGTGGGTAGGGATATTTAGAAGGGATGTGGGTTCTTAATTCTACTCATAAAGATACAGTGGTCATAGAAAGGTTACTGAATAATCCTCTGAGTGACTGCTAAAATGCTAGTCTCACTGTTCCGCCTATTTATTCCTCTTGCCATCCATTATGGACCACTTCTCCTCCCAAACATAAACAGCTGCAGAGCCGTTCTATTGTTTGCTGCTCTGTGCCGCTGTCCCTGAGAAAGCACAAGACCAGTGCAGTGTGCAATCGTGTAAGATAAACAGCCCTGCTCTTTGTGGCTTTGTGACATGTTTCCCAATGTTCTCCATTCATTTGTATTGGTAATGTGCTGATATTGAATGTGTTCTGTTCAAGTGTTCCAGTCATAGCTTGAAAACGTGAATGCATGTATGAGAATATGTTGTTGAACTTGGAATATCCTCTTCTGCATGGGATGCTCTCTTTTGTTTGCTGCTCCCTAACCTCAGCATCCTCCCCCAAACCCCCTTCCCCAAAAAAATATTTTGCTCTACTTATCACGAGGGTAGTCAGGCTGAATGAATAAGACAGTTATCTAATAATGGACATTATTTCCCTTTCCTTAGTCAATTCTATTTCTATGCTCCTCCCTATACAACACATCCCCAAATATACTCCATCTGCCTCCCAGTCTCCTTCCCCCTGGTCCTTTATTCACCAGATTTTGGGCCCCTCCCCCACGTGAAGTCACCGAGGCTATAAAACCCCCCATATGGCAGAATGGATCAGTCAGTAGAACACCCCACTTAGAGCATCTTTAGTCCGGCACAATGAGTACCTCGGGACCACTGCAACTCGGGCTCATTAACTGCAATAACAAGTATCTCACGGCCGAGACGTTTGGCTTCAAGATCAACGCTTCAGCTTCTAGCCTGAAGAAAAAACAGGTATGGAGCCTGGAGCCGGTCGGGGAGGATTCGGGGGCCGTGCTGTTCAAGAGTCATCTGGGCCGGTACCTCTCTGCTGATAAGGATGGTCGGGTGTCCGGGGAGAGCGAGGTCCCGGATCCTGAGTGCCGGTTTCTGGTCGGTGTACAAGGGGACGGACGCTGGGTCTTGCAGTCTGAGTCTTACGGCCGGTATCTAGGTGGGTCTGAGGACCGAATCAGCTGCTTCTCTCCCTCCGTGTCCCCCGCAGAAAAGTGGGGGGTCCATCTGGCCATGCACCCCCAGTTCACCCTCTATAGTGTAACCAGGAAGCGGTACGCGCGGCTGGGTGCCCAGGGGGATGAGCTGTCTGTGGAGAGAGATGTGCCCTGGGGTCTGGACTCCCTCATCACCCTCATCTTCCAAGAGAACCGATACAGCATCCAGACGCCCGACCACCGCCTGCTTGCCTCGGACGGCAGCCTGCGCACCGACTACAGCGCCGACACCGGCTACACCCTGGACATCTCCGCCGGCAAGGTGGCATTCAGGGCGTCGGACGGCCGCTACCTTACCCCGTCGGGCCCCAGCGGGAAGCTTAAAGCCGGCAAGAACAGCAAAATCGGCAGGGACGAGCTGTTTGTCCTGGAGAGGAGCTGCCCCCAGGTGGTTCTTACTGCGGGCAACGGGAGGAACGTGTCTACTAGACAGGGTGAGTGGCTACTATCTCCCCATGATGCGCTACCCCTAGAACCGGCAGGATGGGCACGTGTGGGTATATAGCTATCGCTATTTCCAGGTCTGGGGCTACCTGATCTCCCTAGATTTCAGCCCACTTCTCATCTGCAGTGTAATCCATATCGGTGTGATAGGCTCATATGTTTCAATCTTCAGCTTGCCTACTTGTATTCACTAAACTCCAAACTGCATCGAAATTAAATCCAAATGGTTAAAACTGAGGATAAAATAGCCAAGCTTTGACTATAGGAGAATGGGAGATTGAGAAACAAGACTTTGTCTCCGTTATACCATTCCCCATTTTCTTTGCTACAGATCGGAGTTTAGTGAATAATCCTGATTGAGTGTGCTGCTGCATCCACAATACAAAGGAATGGGAAGTTGCTGAGTGATCTCCCCCTCCCCTTCAGACACTCCCTCCCCACTCACGTCTCCAGTGCTTCCCGTTACTCTGTCTCTGCCTGGACCATTCCTCTGTGAATACGTCCAGCTATTCCCCAAATTACCATGTTTTCTATTTGCAGTTAGAATTCCATATTGTGACAATGTATCAGATTAAGCGTTCTATCAGTATAACCACAGCCGATTTAATTTCCCCTATTTTTCATTGTCTTTATCTGTATTTACAGGATTGGAAGAGGTTTGGTATTCCTTATAATTAGTGTGATCGGTGTAAGTTAACGGTGTTTGCATGGTGTGAAACCTACACTCTGCTGGTTTGAGATTTACACGTTTTGCTTGATTTCACGAGCTCTATACCCCCACCCACTCCCCTAAGCACACATCCCTACCCTATAGAGAAAGGAGGCTTTGTCTGCTCATGGCGCTAGCTAGAGTTGCATGCTGCTCCACACCCACATCTAGGCTGCAAATGGGGTTGGGTTAACCCTACAGGGTCCCCTACATTCTGACTGCTCTTAACCAACCCGCTTTCTCCCTTGTGGATTAGCTTTTATGTATTAGCTGTTCTTATTTTGGGGTAGGATTGGTCTTCACTCCCCTCAGACCCACCCCATGCCATAGTTGTGGGGTTTGTCAGCAAATATGTTCGTAATTGCTTCATTATGTCACATTCTCAAATGTATTCCTTGAATGCATAGGAACTGTTTAATTCTAAATACGGGTATATCTACCAGAAGCCAATACTAGAACAAGCCATCTGTGTCTTCCGATCTTTACTATAACGCTCCTAATGCTGGCTGGGGTTTAATATGGTGGCTATTGATTTTAGGACTCATCATTATTAGGCACTCTTCACGTGTAATTAAACCTGATGGTGGCTACAGCAGATTAAGCCAATTTCCTAGTATGACTTTTACTTATAAAATTTGGGTATCCAGATATACCGGCATATGCATTTCAAAAAGTAAATTTTAGCCCCATGTTAAGATGTATGATCAGTGGTGAGACACGTTTGCAGAAAATGCAATGGTAGCTTAAAATGATCCTAAAGGAAATGCTGCAATGGAAATAAATTTGGATTGTATCCCAGTCTCTATTCCATACAATCACTAAAACTGCTATCCACTTCAAACCATGTTTTATACATATACTTTACTGGGTTTTGCAGCCTGTTTTTTTGAGTAAAGAAAATCAAATAAATCATGATATTGAACATTCATATTGCATAAAAGTAACACCACACTGCACCCAACTATAAAAAGAAAAGCTAAAATAAGCGACAATCTGGTGCAGTAATTTAAAAAACAAAAGTGCAAGGTAGGGAATATACTTTTTATTTTTATAAAGGTGTGACAAACTGTACTTGCTTGGAAGAAATGTATAGATACTCAGTGCAATGTAAACTCTGCTTGTAGAAGCCTTGGTTACATAACTGGGCAATATACTGCTATGGGGATAACGTGCTAAATCTTTTGAGCAAGAGGGTTGCACTCAGCCATGCACTGTGTAATATTACTCATGTCTTGCAAAGACGCAACTTCCAAGCGCATACTCTGGGGTAATGTATTATCAAGAGAAAAGTGCAAGTGTTTATCCTTGTAGAGGCAGTCTGTTTATCAACCAAAACATTTGGGAAAACTAATACCGCTTAATGATTCCTTATAGGAATATGGAGGAAAAAAACAAGCAGTGGCTTGATTGGAAAATATTAATTGCATTCTAAGGGAAAGTGGTGTTCTTGAGTTTGTCAATAAATAAGTGAAATCTAAAAAATAGCTGTGGTAAATGCAACATTTAAAGACTTAAACCACCAATCTGTCTCATTCCAAACGTGGCAAAATGGATCCAACTCAGGTTATTTTTGCTCTGAATGACATGGGGGCATTGAGACCATTTCACCTGCAGGCGCTTTTGACTACTGTCTGAAACAGGAGTCTCTGATAGATGGGTCTGTGCAGTGACATCCCTGGTTGCACACAGGGCAAGATTAAGAGCCCAGTGGGCCTGGTGCTGACAATTATGATGGGCCTAATTACAAAATTTTATTTACCAAAAACACTAAAACAGTCCTACCTCCTAAGCGTCATATATCTGATGGAGAGGGTGCCAGAAACTCATAGGATGCAGTTATGAGAAAACACATACCCTATGCTAATCTCACGCTTTCATCTTTCAAGTAATCCCATACCTCCTAACAGCAGTGTCCAGTAAAGCAGGAAGTCTATGAATGGGGTAAAAGGGTGGGCCACTGGCACAAATCACATAACCAGAACTGCCGAAAGGGTTGAACATACACAAAAAGGGGCATGTCTGTGTCCCCATGTCACTAGGACACTGGGAGACATTGGGACACTGGGTGACTTTGAGACATGAGGGGAGCACTGGGAGATATTGAGCACTGAGACACTGTGATGCATAGGGGACACTGGAGGCTTGGTTTTGACCTTGGTACAGGTCAAAACGTTGCGGTGTCCATTAAACCTGCTTAAATCTATCACAGTGAGTGCCTGAGCTTTTTTTTTTTTTTCTTTTATACTAGGACATAGACACTTGGGGGCCCTGTGAGACATGGGGACTCTGGAACACTGGGGACACTAAGGACACAGACATCAGGGACACTGAGACACTCTGATACATAAGGGTCACTGTGATACATAGGGGACACTGGAGACTTGATAAAGACCTAGGTACATGCTGAAACATTGTGGTGTCCAATAAACCTGCTTAAATATATCAGTGAGTGCCTGAGATTTTTTTTTATACTAGGGGACACTGAGACTTTGGGAGACTGGAAACACTCAGACACTATGGACACTGGCATACTACGGACACTGGGAGACATGGGGATACTGAGATACTAGGGACACAGGCTGGGAGACATGGCGACACTGGGAGGGCCCCAGGTCTCAAAGTTGCCCAGTGTCCCCATATCTCCTTGTGTCTCCATGTCTGTCACCTAGTGTCTGTGTCCCCATGTCGCCCAGTGTCCCAATGTCTCAGCTTCCCCAAGTATCTTACCGTACCCATGTCTCGCAGGATGGAGCTGCTGTCCGGACTCTGTGCAGAGCTGCTCCCTGCGGATCAGTGAGTAGTGAGAGGCAGGGAGGTACATGATGTAACGCCTTATCCCTGCCTCTCTCCAGACAAACAGCGACCCCCTACTGGCCGGCGCTGGTATTGCAGAATAATCTGTTTATACTCAGACATTTCTATTGCCGGTATTACTGCAATACCGGTACCGGCTAGGCAGCCTCAAATACCTGGCAACGATAAGAAATAAACTAGAAATACATGGCAGCCCTAAGAGTAGTGTCTGTGTAAAAAAAATAATAATATATATATATATATATATATATATATAATTTTTTTTTTCAGTGGGCCTGGAGCTACAGCTCCATCAGCCCCTATGTTTATCTGGCCCTGGTTGTACAGCACCCAAAAACTTACTGTTTGGGAATATAGACTGCCTGCCTTTAATGCTGAGTCACATATGCTGATGTGGGACAGTTTGCCATGTGACCAGTTCTGAAACACACATTTTGTCTGTATACAGATATATCAGTGAATTTTCTGCCCACATTACACTGAAGTTTTCTTATTCGACAGTGAGTTCCATTGAAATAACACTTGCAAATTTCAAGCTCTGCTACCAGTTTTGGAAAATTTCATCTTGGTAATTTTTCATCTGTCATTTTAGCTTAAATATGAAAGTCAGTTGAGAACTCAATAGCTTTCGGCAAAAGTTACCAAAGTACAGTTTTTCGCAGGTACAGTAACAAGGTAGAGAATCCAACTTCACCAATAGGCTTGTGCATTACTTTTTCATGTTCCTTTTAACAGAACTATATTCTAACTTCTTTACTTTAAAGCATAACCACTTTAATAAATGAAACATAAGGTGCTTATTCTGAACAGAGATTGTTTAAACAATAATATATTAGCACTAAAAAGTACAAGTAGAAACAGCACTCGTAGAATTAAAATGTAATTTGTTTCATATGTTCAGTTGTATAGAAACCAGAGGAACACTGGTATTCAGTCATTCAAATATAGGAATCCCAGAAATAAAATCTAGTTGCAGAAACTACTTAAAATCTGATAGTAGTAAGAGTCTTTTATAGAAGTGACCCTTTAGTAGTTGGTATGTGATCTGTTACTGATGTGAATGCAGACTAATGTACACTTTAAAACTAATAAGAAGAAATATGGTATAGTACAGCCCAAACAACTCTATTAAATTCTTAAAACAGATCTGTCACAATATTTTGGAATGTTCCTGCAGCCATACACTTTATATCTGTTCCCGAAGCTCTGTTTTCAAGCATATGATCTCCATATGTTTAGTTTTCAAATGTCTGCCAAAAGCATAATGGTAAAATTTAAGGAAATCTATAGTGAAATAGTATGGACTTTCTCTCAAAGGGCAGCCAGTGAAAGGTCATGTGATCCCGGGCTATCGCACAACTTCCAGCAAACCTTCCTCATACTGCAGCGGCCAGGAGGAAGTAAATGAAGGGGCAGTGCTGTTAGGCACTGGGGAACCAACCTTTGGTAAGATAGTGCTGATTAATTCCTGCCCCATAACTCAACGAACTGAAATTGTTTAGGGGGTGGGAGTCTTCCTTTAAGGGGACAATTAAGGCAGTATAACCCTTTAGCTCATTGAAGTTAGTCGGGTTGCTCTCACTGACTGCTTTTGTTTAGACATATTTATTGATCTGACAAAAGAAGCTTAAAGGACCACTCTAGCCACCCAGACCACTTCAGCTTAATGAAGTGGTCTTGGTGCCAGGTCCAGCTAGGTTTAACCCATTTTTTCACAAACATAGCAGTTTCAGAGAAACTGCTATGTTTATGAATGGGTTAAGCCTTCCCCTATTTCCTCTAGTGGCTGTCTCATTGACCGTCACTAGAGGCGCTTGCGTGCTTCTCACTGTGATTTTCACAGTGAGAGCACGCCAGCGTCCATAGGAAAGCATTATGAATGCTTTCCTATGTGACTGGCTGAATGCGCGCGTGTGCATTCAGCCCAGGAGAAGGATCGGAGGAGGAGAGCTCTCCGCCCAGCGCTGGAAAAAGGTACGTTTTTACCCCTTTTTCCCCCTTCCAGAGCCAGGCGGGTGTTTTTTTTCCTAGCACTATAGTGGTCCTTTAAGCTCATATCTCCATCTCCAAACCGTGTCGGTGACACAATTCTCACTTCCTGGCTTACATACAAATTCATACCAGTGATTGGAATGCAGCACAAACATGAAGGGAACTTTAATACTTCGCTCCCTTGGAATCGGCACTTGCTCTTATTGATTGTGGTTGGTCATATGTACCCAGGAGAAGGAGGTTGACCCAGAGACCTGTCAATTAGTGGTCAGTATTTTCCAGGTCTCATTAAATGTACATATCTGGAGCTCTGCACTATTTCTAATTTAAATTGAACTCTCATCTGAGCAGGGTCCTCATAAACTTATTGTTCCTGTAACATTTTGTAACTCATTTATTGTTAAATTTCCCATTTTATAATATTGTAAATAAGTTGGCACTATATAAGTGTCAGTATTAATATGTAGAAACTAGCCTAACTTGGCTGTAGGCTAGAATTGGATATAGGTTGCTTTATTTCCATATTTGGGGAAAGACTAGATTCTAAATCCCACCACCTTTCCGGCATGACACATTTTATGACTGTTCGGTCTGGTAAAAACTTCCTGATTCGCTTCCTCTTTCCAGGTGACTTCCATACTCTTTGCCAGAGAATATTAATGACCTCATACCCCTCCTTTAGACAAATAGGAGGAAACACATGTCGGTTGACTATTCAAAACAACCCAAATATGGTTTGGATAGCTGGGTATTAAGACAAAATAAATGTTTGTCTATGGCTAACATGTGGTAAAACGACTAAAATGGAGCACTCCTCTTCCCCCTCCCCCCCTTTTTTTTTCTGTTATTCAGCATTCTTTCTTTTGCATTTATTGCAGACTGTGTACTTTCCTGCCTTCAACCTGTAGATGAACACAATTTTTGAATTTGGAAGATTGGCCATGTATTTGCTAGTGCCATGTACCCTTATTCTAATTGTACTGCCCTAGATAGATATATTATGGTGGTTTGTGTGTAATAATTTGTATATCTTCTCACAAGTTGTGTACCTCACGTCTTGTCCTTCTCAAGCAGTCAAAAGTGGCAGAACCAAACAAAGCTGTAACATGTTCTTGGCAAACATTTAATCGTTGTACCACTTTTCCTAATATAATGCACCTTGTCAAGCACACTCAAGGTTAATGAAATTGCAGAATGGCAGTCTTGTTTTCCAGATAAATATAGTTTGTCTGTGGTATATTTGGCTTGCCTTTAGTTATAAATTTGGAGAAAATATTCTGCAGACATGGTCCATGAAAACGACATTTACATTGCTTTACTATTCGTCACAAAGACTGTTTTATAGCTGGGCATTGTGGCATGCTTAGTAACAGCTGGAATGCCAAAGGTTTGTAATTGTTGTGGATTGCTTATACAAGTAATCAAATCCTACTGGAGAGATTACTGAGCAGCTGCAGCCAGTTGGGATTTTTTGTTTAGACTCTTTTGCAGACAGCCACACGTGACCATTATAAACTGCTTGGTGAAAAGAATTCCATTCACCAAATTGCTTGGTATTAGCAGAGACGGAGAAGTACTGAGATAATGGTTCAAGGATGACCTGGATAAGTGACTGGTTTGGTACACTGAGATTGTGTTGTGACCATGACATTTTTAAAAGTTTAAGTCAGACATGCTGCCAGTTACTAAACATATTAAAGTATACCCATAAATTAAAATTGCAGTATACTGTATGTGTGAACAGCATGTTTTTATTATTGAATTGCTGTCATTGGTTTTGTTAATTCTAAAACGTTCCAGGTCTGGTTATTGGCACACTTTCATTACCCAGAGTCCTCTGTAATCTGAGATGTTCTTTCTCTCAACTTGTTAAGAGTACCACTTTAATGCACAGTATTAGGAGTTAATTATACAAGATCACGTTGGGAGTATTGTGGGTGCATCATGGTTTTGAAGCAGGTTTGAAATTAATAGAGCATGGTGTGGAGTTTAAAAATACAGGTTTATATAATACTCTGGATGCATTCAAAGATTTTGTCTGTTTTATTCGTAGAACAGGTTTGTCTTTAGAGCCGGACATCGGGTTATGGTATACGAGTCCTACATAGGAGGACCTGTGACATTTACATTTAGGCTGAGGTTCCCAGTCTTCATGCCAGCTACCAGTGCCCCTGATTTTCAATCACCTCCTTTGTACCCATACACCTAACAATCTCACCAGTCATGCTGGATAGTCTTAAACATTTAAATTGTCTTCATTATTACACAATAAAGATCTGACAATAAATTAGTCTGATAGTATAATGTATAAGTTTGCACAGGATATTTTTATTGAAGATATTTTAATTGCTGTATAACTAAAAAGCCTGCACCATCATTGTGGTTTATAATGGGTGTCACTACAATGCAGAGTTAAACTCTTCTAATTGGTGCAGTAATGTGGTGTACAGCAGAATACCCAATGCTGTATGTTGAAGGTGGCTAGATTTAGGTGCACATTAGATTGGGGAGGTGTCCTATACTTTTAAGATGTGGTGAATTACATTCCTACCACTCAGCCGTGTGTCATAAGAATGAGAATCACAGGAGTTGCATTCCGTAGCATCTTGAAGGCAAGGTTCCTCTTGAAGGAAATGGAGGTTAAAGCAAAAAGCAGCAGGAAGGAAACTGTAGTTGATGGTTTCAATATTTAAGGGACACGTGGGTTGAGTTGTGAATAATGTTCTGTAATGTAGTTGAAAATGGGGTTTCTTTGAGGGAAAACCTAACCTTTGGGGTTGATTACAAGATGGCTCCAAGGTTTTAGAAGAAAAGGATGTAGTGAAAGGCTGTTAAAAAAAAAAAAAAATACATGTCAATTGCAAATGTAAACTTGATTGATGGTTTTTAAGGATTATCTTTTTAAACTTGATATGCTGATTTCCACAAATAGATAATCATTGACCTCTCCCCATGGCTTCTAATATACAGCAAGGTGTAGGATGTCAGATCATTGGGGACTACAACTGCTTCTTTACAGAATAGAATTGAAAAATACCAGACAATCTGCTTTGCATAAATACACCTGATGAAACAAGAAAAATAGTTTATAGGTTTATTCCTTTGCATAAAAAGTATATGGATGGACTGTTATTAGACCCAGCTACAGTATGTGATGCCACTGAATCCCACCTTAGAGATTTCACTGCCTTTTCTACTTCTTGTTACATTGAATGAATCTTTAGTCAGCACTGTAAAACAAAAAGATGTTTGCAAGTGGCACATTGGCAGTGGGAATATTTTGCCTAGCCAGATTAAGACTGCATGCAATTTGGTGTGCAATGTAGATGAGGTTTTGTCTTGCTTTCCAGTACATACTTTGCATCTGGCGATTATTGGTGCATATGCTTCAGTGCCAGTTAGAAGTAATAGTTTGGGGGATTTATTTCACTGTTACCGCTTGCTTGAGAGCTATTGATGTATAAGCAAGATTTTCTAAAAGTGATATTATGGCTTGCGTTGTGCATGTCCAAGGTCTGTAGATTATATATCCTGTTCTACCTTGGGTTCTATTCATTTGGAAACTTGTAACTCAATCTTCTGTAATTGCTTATGCTTTAATATTCAAAAATTTTTAGAGAAACCTTTCAAAGACTAAAGAGTTTTCCAATGTGGTTTTCTGTTCTGGTTAGGAGTTTCGGACAGTTTAACACGAAACAAATGAATTTTTGAATCCTATTCAATAATTTTTGTTCTGCAGAAATACATGACATTCACACTATTGTTTTCAAAAGTATTAATGTGCCTTTACATTGGTGCTTAGAACATGAACATAAAGCTTTCATATTGCTCTAGCTGTCTGACCGTATAATTTTTATTTTAGGTCTTGACCTCTCAGCCAATCAGGAGGAAGAGAGTGACCAAGAAACTTTCCAACTAGAAATTAACAAGGATACAAAGAAGTGTGCTTTCCGGACTCACACTGGAAAGTACTGGTCCCTCACCAGTACAGGAGGAATACAGGCAAATGCTTCTGCTCCGTAAGTCTGCTAGTAGTTATGGTATTCTGACATTTCCAGCTTTTTACATGTTATGCTGTAACCAGTTATACCTATTCAATTTTTTTAATACACAGTGGAGCATGTATGCAGTGTCTAAACAGGAAAGGTACATGTTTCCATCTATGGCTTCCTGTTGTGACCAATTCTTTCTCATTATGCATTTAAAAAAGTTGAAGAGGAGGTGTAACCACAAGTGGACCTAAATTAAACTAAATAAACTCTAACACTTCCACAGGCTTTGCTATACCGCAAACCTGCACAACGATTCATAAATAGAATGAAAGAACGTTTCACTATTGATGTGTTAACTTCATTGCAAAAAAATTTAATCTTATTCGGCAATATCAAAATTGTGTGTTCTTGAAACTCATAGCAGCTCGCAGTTAAGAAGTTTAAGGATATTGATATATGGTCATTCTAGCTGACATACAAATCGGAGATGAAAATTTAGTTTTTCTTTTGAATTGTAATATTTGCCTTTGAATCAATCAACAAAGACTAATTTAGAAGGAGATTCAGTTAATTCATGTAAGTTTTAAGGTTCTGTATTGTTAATAAACATGGAAAGATTCTCTAAACCCTTCCATTCTCTGCTCTGTGCACAGAGAAGCTAAATTGATTTGTGGTACTCGAACTGTTAACATGCTGCTACCTCATCTGTTAAGTGCATATGGGATTATATTGAGAAAATGGCTAGAAAACAACCAAACAATGAAACCTTTTTTTTTTTTAATGGACAAAATATTTGTATGTCCAGGGATGTTTAATGTGTGAAGTACAAGTAGAAGGTATAACTGTATTTACAGGGTTGAGATGAGTGGACTCTGGGCTTAGATTTTAATTTTGAGTCTCTGGACATTACCATTAATTACCAATATTTTCTATGGACCTTGTGGTGCTTTTAGGATATAATATCTAGAGGAGGAGGAGGAGGAGGAGTATGGGGCATTTGTTTGAGGGGAGGAGAAGAGCATGCACCTACTCACCCTAGTTAAGAACTGTTAGATATATAAATGTTTTCATAGGCTTTCATTTTGATTAGTGATTCTGCTTTATTAGTTGTCCATAACAGATTTAAGCATAGCTATGATTAATCACCGGTCTGTCAGTGGAAAGATCTTTTAAATTTGTATGATTACCAAGCACACATAATTTAGAGGAACACTGTAATGTCAGGAATACAAACAGCCCAGCTTGCGTCACTTTGAAAAGGTGATTTTTTTTATTTTTATTTTTTTATGCTCCCCTTTTATCCCACGCTAGTGTTTACCCTGAAGACACCAGAACCACTGCATTAAGCTATTGTGATTCTGGTGACTTGTGTTGTTTTGAAGGACCACTATAGTGCCCAGAGGGTGCCCCACCCTCAGGGTCCCCCTCCCGCCCGGCTCTGGGGAGAGTAAGGGGTTAAAACTTACCTTTTTTCCAGTGCCGGGCGGGGAGCTCTCCGCCTCCTCTCCTCCCTTTCGGCTGAATGCGCATGCACGGCAAGAGCTGTGCGCGCATTCAGCCGGTCTCATAGGAAAGCATTCATAATGCTTTCCTTTGGACGCTTGCGTGTTCTCACTGTGATTTTCACAGTGAGAATCACGCAAGTGCCTCTAGCGGCTGTCAATGAGACAGCCACTAGAGGATTTGTAGGATGGGTTAACCTTAACATAAACATAGCAGTTTCTCTGAAACTATGTTTATTAAAAAAAGGGTTAACTCTAGCTGGACCTGGCTCCCAGGCCACTTCATTAAGCTGAAGTGGTCTGGGTGCCTAGAGTGGTCCTTAGTTATTGCATTTATATAGCACCAGCCTCTTCCCCTGTGCTTTACAATATTATGAAGGGGAAAATGTAACCATAAATGAGACAATTACAAATCGTTACAGGGAAAATAGAAAGGGCAGCATAGGGAGTAGAAACAAAGTGACATTTTGGGAAGTTAGCAGAATTGGAAAATTAGGTTTAAGTGTGACCCTCTAAGAGAGACAAAGAAGTTTGTGAAATAAGTTACCCTGGGAGGCTATTCAGAAGCAGTTGACTTGTAGGGAACCTTAAATGATTGACGACTAAGGGAGAATCTAAAGGGAGTAGGCAGGCTGCTCCAAAGGAGTGGAGCTGCCCTAGAAGTCTTGCATGCATGAGTTGGCAGTATGCATACAAGCATCAGAAGCTAGAAGGTCATTCATACCTTTGAATTGGTGAAAAAATTTAGCAGGGGGTAAAGTTATCTAGAGATTTCAGTAAGAGTTAGTATTTTGAATTTAATTCTATAGGGTACAGGAAGCTAATGTTAGGATTGATAGAGAGGTGAGTTGTAAGGAGCGAAAGGAGAGAAAAAATAAGCCTGGCTGCAGCATTTGTTACTGTAGGGAGGCAGTATGGTTTCTCCAAATTCCCTTTTCTCTTCCCCTTTCAGAATCAGTTATTCTTTTCTTCACTTGTGAACTGGTTCTCTTTACAACATAAGGCAAAGTAGAGACTGTCTTGTGTATTTTTCCTGTGTCTGGCAAATGTGACAAAAGGATGGAGCTTAAAGGAACACTATATGGTTAGGAACACAAACATGTATTCCTGACCCTCTAGTGCAAAATCCAACTTTAAGGTGTCATGATTGCCAAGGTAAAATATATGACAAAGTATATAAGAGCACTAGATCAGAAATGAAGAAGAGAACAGATTCTGAAAGATGGAAGAGAAGAGGAAGCGGGAGAAAAGAAAGTCTGAGGTTTTAAGTTAATACTTTTTTCAAAGAAAGGCAGTATACAAAGAAAACAAGAGGATCAAGAACAGAGCACTTGGGGACTCTAGTAGAGACAGAATGAGTGGAACGAGGTGTTATTTGAAAAAGTGACACTGATTTGTAGCAACAGGAAAATGACAATATGACAGTGTCATTGAGACAGATGATGTGAAGAGTTTGATGGAGAATATGATAAACCGTGTCAAAGGCAACAAAGGTCTAGAAGAGTGGTTTTTTTTTATCCAGAACACTTTACAGTTTATGCAAAAAAACACAATGGGTGCATAAGACATCGCTAACTGTAAGGATGTTCCATGCAGACACCAATTGTGGTACAGTTAAGAATTCAGTTTATTGATCAGTGGCAAGCTCTTGTAAACAGAATTTTATTAGGAGGAAAGAAGTTTATTGCTTTGCCTTTAAATGTTGGATCTTCACAAATAAGTGAATTACTTTTACAATACACATGTTGATCCTTGTGACCCTTTATTCTATTTTATGTTTCAGGAATGACAACTGCTTCTTTGATATTGATTGGCGTGACCACCGTATAACCCTTAAGGCTGTAAATGGTAAATTTGTGACTGCCAAGAAAAATGGACAGCTGGCTGCTTCTATTGATGCTCCCGGTGAGTTTATCAAGGATTTTCATATAATAACCTCCTTTTTTTTATGTGGATGTACTTTTGTAAATCAGTTTACTTATTTGAATTTTTATGTGGGTGAATTCTTAAATGAAAGCTCCAACATTGACCACAAACCTTTTAATCATGAGACACCCTGAACACTTCAGCATAAAGGAATTACATTATTTTGTCCTATTAATATCATGTGCACAAGTTTAAATTAATTTATGATGAAACTTGTTTTAGTTGCCTTCTGGTTCTGTTACAAGCCTCACTGCTTCCTTTGTCAGTGAAATAATGTTTATACCAGCTGCCTTGTTAAATTGCTTTTTTTTCCCCCACAGGAGAGACTGAGTTCTTCCTGATGAAACTCATTAATCGTCCCCTAATTGTTCTAAGGGGAGAGCATGGATTTATAGGCTGCCGTAAAATGACAGGGACCCTTGACTCAAACCGTTCAATTTATGATGTCTTTCAACTGGAATTTAATGATGGTGCATACAGACTCAAAGGTGGGTTCTTGTACCAAAATATTTGCGTTTGTTCTGAAAAAAAAAAGGGTTTTGCATTTCAAGGTGGTGTTTATAAGGAATTTTCTGTGACTTATGTGTATGTAAGTGTTTCTACTGTATCTGCATCCTAACAATCACTTTTTTCTATTTGCAGATTCAACAGGAAACTACTGGACCGTGGGTAGCGACACTTCTGTTACCAGCAGTAGCTCCTCTCCAGTAGATTTCTTCTTTGAGTTCTGTGACTTCAACAAGGTAGCCATAAAGGTGAATGGCCTGTACCTGAAGGGAGACCATGCTGGTGTCCTTAAAGCCAATGCGGAGACAATCGACTCCTCAACACTCTGGGAATACTGAGTATGCCATTCCAGTGGAGCTAGTCTGGACCTGGTTTAGTATTAAAACATGTGCCTGTCTGCCCCTGCAAGGCATTAAATCAACACACTAGTTGCAGAGGGGTTTTTCATTCTATTTTTGCAAATTTACAGATCTTAACAAGAAAGAAAGCAAATCATGAAGGTGCTGGTAGACTCCAACCTGTACAATATACATGTTCCTGAATTCTAATTCATGTCTTGTAAGCGCAAGACTTCAGGGAAGCACAGATGTGTAGAAAAGATTTGAGAAATTACTCCTATAGAATTGGAGTAAACGCCTTTTGCATTTTAGTGGTGTCCTCTTTAACCGATTTCTCCTGCCACTTTGTACCAAAGCAGTTATGAGCCAGTTTCTAGATTATTCTGGTTTCACATTTTCTAGATTTGTGCTAGAAGATCTTGCTTTACAAGAACTTTATGTGCTTTGTTGGTGGTTGTAGAGCAGTGACCTCCACGTCAATTCATGAACAAAATGTTAGCACTAGAACAGATGTGATTATGTTAATTTGTTCCATTCTAGAAGTCTTTGAGAGTGCTTCAAAAATCAAGATTTCTTTTCTTATTCTAAGTGGATAAAAAATTTATTCAGGCATAAATACAGAAGATGCCCATAAAGATACTTATATAGATTTATTGGTAAAGCAATAGCCTGTTTTTGGACTTTGCGCTATCTGGTTTTCCCATTATGTAAAGTCCACACACCTGCACCTTCTGATCTGAAGGGCACTTCTCTATGCTGGAAAGTAAACATGTAAAATACTGGAAGGAACCAAAACAGTGTTTATTAATCTTTGTATTCTCATCTCACTTGTAACATGATGTAACTGCAGTTGTTTCTGCACCTGGCATGTCTTTTATCTACCTGTGGAGCACCATTTTGCTGGTTGAGCTGTGCTGACACCTCTTACATCTCCTGTCACACACAAAGGGTTATTAACTTTTATACTTGTATAGATGTCCACAATTTACAGATGTCTGTATTGTGCATTGTCCTTAACCCCTGGGTTTGCCATTTTGCCGTACGTAATAACTGACCCTTGTGGCTGTGTTGCCTGGTAGTTGACAGAGTATGAAAATGGACCTGCTGCCCCCGCTGCTTGCTTCCTGTGATCTGGTGCCAGATAATCTCTCTTCAGTCTCTGAATTGGTCTGTGAAGCTAACACATTAGCAATGTCTTTAAGTGCCATTTAAATAAAAACAAGCTGGAAAAAATATTGCCTCCTTTTCTTTGAAAATGGCCTCAAATCTAATCTTCTGATTTCTTAGATCACTCTTTTAAATCAATCACTATTCTGCTACATGAGTGCTATCCTATGTCTGGGGAAATGTAAAGTCTGTGTTTCACATTCAGGGAGGTGTGACTAGGGCTGCATAAGCAAAGTAGCAGAGAACTGAACAGTAAGACTGCAAGGGGTGTGATCCAAACACCAAAACTGCTTCATTAAGCTAAAGTTGTTTTGGTACCTATATTTTCCCTTTAAGACTGAGCATAATACCACAGCCGCGCAGGTTTTTTTTTTTTTTTTTCCCCATTCACACAAGCACAATGTCCAGATAGTAGCCAGCACTATGAGAGGGCATAATTTCAAAGTACCAGTAGTGTGCGAGATCACAATACACGGGTGGGTTTATACCATGAGCCGCTACCCCCGTGCAGTCACTGCTTCTCCAGCCAGTTTCAGTTACTGGGACTCCAGCGTAACCCCTTCCTACTCAGGCCGGCAATCCAAAGCTTGTGAGAAACCATGTTACTGCTGCAACCACCATGCAACTCCATCCTCTCTATACATCAGAGAGTTAGTCAGTGAGTGTTCTAGAGATTATCCACGTCCATTAGCCTGTGCTCGCTGTGGGATTGGATCAAAGCCCTGGATGGATCCATGGTTGGAGAGTCCAGGCTGGCAAGTAAGGCGGCGGACATATTGTGATAATTTTTCACCCAGTTAAAAATGTTATTTGGGGTCTATGACCAATTCACTAAGTAGTGCTATAGAGACTGCGTTTTGCAAGTCACCCAGGCTCCACCATTACCAATCTGGTAAATAGCAATGAAAAATGACAGCTGAAAGTTTAAGCTATAAAATCCAGGTTGGAAAAATCGGTTTAGTAAAGTTATTCATTAAAGTGTCGTGGGTTTTTTTTTTTTTATTCAAAAATGTGAATACCTTTCAGGGTTATTCAGCAAACTCCTGGATGTCACAAAATTCAATCTGAATTTTGAAATAGCTGTGGGAACGTGGAGGGGGTTATTCTCCAAATCTATAGCATAACTCCCAACTTTTGGTACATATGAAAGCAGGACAGACCTAGAGACCTACCAGTGGTGCAACTTGTGTCATTAGTGATGTCTAGAATGAATGGATGGACCTGCATGCCTCCCAACATTGGAATAGAATAGAGGCCCTTTGCATTTGTGTTTTGCCTGTTTTCTGAAGTTGTGTAAGCATAATTTAATTTATCTAGTCCTTACTGTTTTGCATATAATAGTTTTAATCAAATTTTATACTTTACTCAGATAATTCATTACATTTAAAAAAAATCTGTTACATAGAACTGAAATGTACATTGATATTAAACTAATATCAATATATTGTTCATTCCTATAGAAATATATATATATATATATATATATTTATATATTTATTTTAATATATTAGTGTTATTTTCTGTCCAATGTTGGTGTTACTTTTAATAAAAGTATGGTTATTGGCTTGTGGCAACTTGCAGAACCCTTGACCTCAAAACTGGAAGAAGCGGAGGACTGGAGCAGAGTGGGATCCCTCCGGGCGCAACTTACCAACAAGCTACTAAGCCACATTCCCTACACATGCCTAGGCTGAAGGCCTGCAGGGCTAACCCCCAGGAGTGGGCGGCGACAGACCAGTGGGAGCTCAGATTTGGCCTGAAATACGAGCATCCGAGCCTATGCTAAAGGGATGCATGCCTTCATGATGACCTAGGGCTGGAGGGCCACTATCCCTCACGTTTGGCCAGACGTCTCTACTGCGTATCCCTATACACTACCAAGTTTGGGCATTGGGTGAAGTTTGCAGCCACGCATGGAGCTACTAGTCATACCTCCTTGCACCCCAAAAACAGCGAACGCTGACATCCCATGAAATGCCCTCCTCACTAGCTTGACTTGTCCCTACTCATACAGTGACTTGCTACTAAATAAGTTACACCATAGCATTGTGCAATACTGTTGTATGTTAGCTTGTTTAGGATCCATGGTCACCTCCTTAGAGGTAAAAACCAAAACATGCAATGAGCCTGCTTAGTGTCAGCCACCATGTTTAGATGCTATATCTTTTTAGTTACAATCAAATAGGTTATTAATCGATGCATACTGGACCAGCCTGAGTTGCGGTTTCGTAAATCTACTGTAGCGGAGTTTCCTGTACCCCGGCTGGGTACTTCTGCCAATTGACCGCTTCCTAGCTGGAACAGGGGACAAACAGCAGCACTTCTGCTCACAGTCGCTGTGGCTGGACTGGGGACTTATGTAACAGTTTACCAGGAGATGGCACAGGAAGGAGGCAAAAGCACAGTACAGATTAAGGAGAAATCCAAAGGCAGGGTCAGACGAGAAGCAGAAGTCAGGGCTGGCAGCGGAGTAACGTAGTCAGTAAAGCAGGCAGAGGTCAGAGTCCAGGAAATCGGTCAGTAGCGAAGCAGAGATCTGGCAGGAAACGCCAAACAGGCAAAATGACAAGATGCTAGGTTTCAGGCAGGGCTGGCTTTTACAGCCTGCTAATTAAATGCAGCTGCCCCTAATTGGAAAAGGGTTGCAGGTGGATCAGTACTGCTCAATCCAGGCAAGGGGTCAGGAAATAGAATAATGCAACTAGATACTAAAGCCCCTGGTGGATATCATGGCAGAGAACCTGACTGGGATGCTGGAGCTGTGAGTTCAAACCCAGCCAGGTCTATTAAAGGGGCAGCCATGCCTTGCTGTCTGTGACAGAGCTCCCCCTCCAGGGGCAAACAGACAGGGCCTCAACTTTAGGATCCAGTTCAGACAGGGCTTCAACTACAGGTTCCAGTTCAGGCTCAGAACGGGAATCCAGGTCTGTATAGGCATCAGGATCCAAGAGTGTTGGAACATTTTGCAGGTTGTTATCCTTCGAGAAGGCAGTGCCTGTTCAAAGATCTTCTCTGCAAACCACGGTTCCATTGGAGTGAATTACACAGCCTGGAGACAGAACCTCTCTGTTGGAGCAGGATATGTTAGCGGAGACAGAGACTGGGCATTGGAAGGTAGCCACAGCAGCCTCCCTTTGAGGCTCTGGAACAGGAGCAGGGTTAGCCAGGGCTGTGATGGTGCCATTGGTCTGGTTAGGTGGTCTTTTCGGTCCAGTAGCATGCAGAGTTGAACAAAAAAGGCGCCATGGAGGACTTGCTGGATGGTGATACAGAGCCCCCACATGGCTATGTTTAGGGCGAGGAGGACGTATTGAGCAATAGCTGATGTTGCCACAATAGAAGCAAAGGCATGTGGCTCTCCTTCTGGCTTTTTCAGTTACTGTGAGCATGGTATTTAGTGCTCCAATCTGCATGGGTTCTTCTATGTCCATGGTGGCGATAGGGGTATAGGTCTCACCTGTTTCTTATTAGTGTCTCATTGTGTTCATTAGATATAGCAGTTATACTGCTTCTGATGCTTTCTCCCATGACCCAAGAAAAGATATTGCAGGGGGTAAGTGTTGGCAGTACTTTGAGAACAGATCATATGTAGGCTTGCCATATTTTTGTGAAGTTTATTTTACATTTCTTCAACTTGTTGGTGAATAAGGTCTGACATCAGGACTTCTACTTTAGCTTATCAGTGCTAACTGTTATGACTGCAGCCACTAGACAGAGCCAGGAAAGTGTCAAATAGTTCAAAAGTGGTGGGACGGGACCAGGTGTGCTGTAGGTGCTTAAAGCATCTCTTAAACAAAATGGGCAGTTTACCATCCAATCCATTCTTGTTACACTAGCCTATTTATCAGAAGCACATTATCTACGGTTTAAATTGGCAATTGCTGTGAATGAACAAACTTGTGTACACTGTTTTATGTGACAATGTAGAAATACCATATTTACTTGAATATAATGAGCAACTCAATTTTTGAAAACTGGGGGAAAAAGATACTATTATACAACTTTGTCTGAAAATGTTTATTGCCATTTACCATAGTAACACTGATATTATTAGTGTTACATGTTAATGGGACACTATAGTCACCAGAACAACTACAGCTTTATTGCATTTGTTCTGGGGAGGATAATCATTCCCTTCAGGCTTTTTGCTGTAAACACCGTCTTTTCAGAGAAAATGCAGTGTTTACATTACAGCCTAGTGATAACTCCACTGGCCACTCCTCCGGTGGCTGCTAGAGGTGCTTCCTGGGGCAGAGCTACACAGTGTGCATGCCATTCAGTGTCTCCACCCTCTGCATGGAGACACTGGACTTTCCTCATAGAGATACATTGATTTAATGCATCTCCATGAGAAGATGCTGATTAGCCATTACTATGTTTGACTTTTGCTGGCTCTGCCCCGATATACCTCCTTGACAGTCTCAGCCACTCCTATGGGGAAGCATTGTGATTGGCTCAGACCACCACTTCTGATGATGTCAGAAGACAGAAAGCAGGTCAGAGGTAGACAGGAGCAGAGCCAACAGCTACAGACTTACTTAAATACAAGTAAGATTTTTAATTTATTTAGGGTTTCAGGGGGGGTAGATGGTGGTTTTAACACTACAAGGTCACAAATTCATGTTTGTTAGTGTTACTTTGTATTTTATTTTTTTTCTTAAACACTCTTTCAGGAACGAAATTTGCCTGTGTGAATTTGACACAATGGAATTAGTCTGTGTGAATTTGCCTGAAAATTTGGAATTTTACCCTGGATGTAATGTGCTATTGAATCTAATGCACATTCAAATTTTCAATTTTAAAAAGGTGCGCATTAGATTCAAGTAAATACGGTACACTATACACCTTTATTTCACCTACACCCCGCAGACACTCCTAAATCAAAGCCATTTGGTATCGTTTGCCACGAGCTCTGAAAGTATTTTTTCTTCACAAGGTCCATGTGTATATATAATATAAAACAGAAATAAAAAATAGAGCTCTCTGTTTTCCTTTCTGATACTAGCTGGTCTAACACCTCTGAGACATATCCTTGAAGAGAACTCTGTCCGCTTGCTCTGCTCCAGCACCATCTTGCAAGATGCCCACACACACTTCGAGGTATACTCGATCTTGTAAATTCTCTCCCATTAGACCAAGTCTAAGGAAAGTTTTCTGTCCCATCTCCCCCTTTTCTCTGCATCAGCCTCCTCAACTGCCCCAGGCCCCCCTGCTCCTCTTCTGCCCCCAGGCTCCCAATGCATCTCTTCTGCCCCAGGCTCCCCCTGCTCCTCTTCTGCCCCAGGCTCCCCCTACTCATATTCTGTTCCAGACTGTCCCTGCTTCTACTCTGCACCAGACTCCCCCAGTGCATCTTCTGCCCCAGGCTCTCCCTGCTTCTCCTCTGCACCAGACTCCCCCTGCTCATCTTCTACCCCAGGCTTCCCCTGCCCCTCTTCTGCTCCAGGCTCCCTCTGCTTCTCCTCTGCTCCAAGCTTCCCCTGTTCCTCCTCTGTTCCAGGCTCCCTCTCTGTTCCAGGGTCCCCTTGCTTCTCCTCAGCACCAGGCCCCTCCTGCTTCTCCTTTGCACCAGGTTCCCCCTATTTCTCATCTGCATCAGGCTCCCCCTGCTTCTCCTCTGCCCCAGGCTCCCCATGCTCCTCTTCTGCCCCAGGCTCCCCCACTGCTCTTCTGCCCTAGGCTTCCCCTGCTCCTCTTCTGCCCCAGGCTCCCCCTGCTCCTCTTCTGCCCCAGGCTCCCCCTGCTCCTCTTCTGCCACAGGCTCCACCTGCTCCTCTTCTGCCCCAGGATCCACCTGTTCCTCCTTTTCTCCAGGCTCCCCCAGCTACTCCTCTGCACCAGGCTCCCTCTCTGCTCCACTGGTTCCCTTGCTCCTCTGCACTATGTTCCCCCTGCTTCTCTGCTGCAACAGGCACCCCTGCACCCCCTGTGCCCCATGATCCCCTTGCTTCTACTCTGCTTCAGGCTCCTCCTCTGCCCCAGGGTCCCACTGCTCCTTTTCTGTACCATGCACCCCGTTTCTCATATGCCCCAGGCTCAACCTGTTCCTCTATTGCCCCAGGCTCACCCTGCTCCATCTCTGCCCCAGGCTCCCCCTGCTTATTTTCTGTACCAAGCTACCCTTGTTTTTCCTCTGCCCAGGCTCACCTGCTGCTCTCCTGCTCCGTGTCTCGTAGCCCCCCTTTTGAATTTCTTACCCCATTAGTGTTTCATATCCTCTCTCTTGAATGTCTTACCCCTTCGTGTGTTACACCCCCTTTAGTGTGTCTCTTACAACCCCTCTTATGTATTTCCTACTGCCCCTTTGTGTCTCTTTCTCCCCCCCCTCCCCCCCACCCAGCCCCATCTCCCTTCCCAATCCCCATCTATCTCTCTTTCTCCCATATAGACATAGATACAGGCAAAAATACATAAATGCACAAATACACAAACGTACAGATACACAACCATACAAGCACACAGACATAGTTATTCAGGCACACATTCACAAAGATATACAGGCACACAGTCATAAAAGGCACACAATTAAACAAACACGGTCATACAATCTACACATACAGGTACACTGTCATATAAACACAGACATACATACAGACACATGAACACAGAGAAATACAGACACAGACATAAAGAGACAGAAATAGGCATATAGAGACATATACATACACAGTGATACAGAGACATACATACGCAGATAGTCATACAGAGACATACAGACACAGACAGTCTTACAGACTATGTCTGTCTGTGTATGTATGTCTGTGTATGTATACAAGGTGGCTAAAAGATAGATCCCCATCTGTCGTGCAACTTCAACAATGCTTTGAAAGCTGGGGCTCTACCGATTGTATTTAGCACTGGGCAGTATTTGTGTGTTTGAATGTAAGCATGTGTTTGTATGGAATATGTTTGAGTGAATGTAGGGGTGTGTTTGTATCTAGTGTTTGCGTTTGAATGCAGGCATGCATTTATGTGTAGTGTTGGTTTTTAAATGCAGGGGTGTGCTTATATATAATGTTGGTGTCTAATACAGAGGTGTGTTTGTATGTAGTGTTGACATTTGAATGCAGGGATGTTTTTGTAGTGTTGACGTTTGCATGCAGGGGTGTGTTTGTGTGTAGTGTTGGCGTTTTGAATGCTGTGATGTATGCACATACACTGCCACACACACACACACACTGTGATACACATACACAAAGATACACACACTGACACACATACAGATACAAATATATACAAACTGATACACATTCAGATAGACAGACACAGATAAACACCAACACTGACAGACATACAGATAAACACACTGACATACAGACACACTGATAGACCTACAGATGTACAGACAGAAACACACAATGACACACATACAGATGTACAGACAGATACACACATGCTGATACACAAATACAAACACTGACACATACATACAGATACAGGCACATAGATACAAATAATGACACACATACATACAAACACTACATACATACAGAAACAGACTCTCAAAACACTACATACAGGTGAACATTTTAGCAACCCTCCGGTTTCTTACCTTATGGGAACAGGAGGGTGGCTTCTGCTGGCTGGGGTTGATGGGAGTTCAGAGCTTCCTCCTCTTCTGGCAGCCGAAGGGGCGGGGCTATAGCAACGGAGGCGGAGCTATGCCGATCAAGGGCAGGGTTATAGGGGGGTGGGGGGGCAGGCACTACTTGCTTGCGGTCCGGCCCCCCTTTTCCGTCGAGGCAGAGTCTGTATTAGAGGGGAGGGAATGAGAGGTGGCCAGAGACTTCCTCCCAGCTCTCGAACAGCACCCGATGGGGCCCCTAATGGCACATATCCATCGGGTGGCCCTGAGTGCATGGGCCACCTGATGGACATTTACTGAAGTTCCCAACTTGTGCTATGCGGCTGAACTGCCGCCATTACCAAATTCTTTTTGCGTAGCCCCAGGGGCACTGGATTGTACCCCTGTGGGTACGTGTACCACAGGTTGGGAACCCCTGATTCTTAAGCAAGCTAAATTGCTTTAGGTGTATGAAGTGGGCCTTTAATGTTTACCCACTTGGTCTCCTGCTTTTGACTTGTCTATCTAATTAAATTGTGAATCTGTCAAAAGGATATCACTTGTGATGAGGTAAAAATCATGTGACTGTGCTGTTATGTTGCTGGGCATCATTTGTTTGCCCTCCCCTTCTATATTGTTTTGTCAAAACTTAATTAGGAGAACTTTATGACTTCAAAACAATCCCAAGAAGCATTTGTGAATCAAAAGAACACTAAACGCACCCAGACCACTTCATCTCAATTAAGTGGTCTCTGTGAAGTGTCTCTGCCATTTTAACTCTGCAATGTAAAAAAATTGCCATTTTGTAAGAAAAGCAATGTTTTCGTTGCAGGTTTGAATACTGTTGGCTATCTTCCTGACAACCAC